TATCCATTTCTGGATTTCTGTTAAAAATGAAAATGTGCAGATGTAAGAATGTGCAGAAGCTGTTTCTCTCTGATCAGCATAAGCCAATGTAGCTTAAACAATTTTATAAAAATCTTTCAAAGTAAACCCTACACCAATTTTCTTTCTGCATATAAATGAGTGATTTTCTATCCCTTATTCTCCTCAGCAATGACCAGCTTCTCTTTGCTGTCTGCAGCTATAAATAAAGTATAATCAAGCGGCACCCTGCACCGAAACTAAACACCTCTCTCCCAAAAGCTCTCCACACGGCCAACAAAAACAGGCCGGATGTCCAAACACACCGAGGCCGTCGCTGACACAATTTCAGCCTATCGGCTCTACATCGAGTTGATTAGAGCAGTCCTGAAAGGTGACGGTACTGAAATAAGAGAAGAGCTGAGAGAGAAACTTCAGCACATCCTCAAGCACGTCTGTGATACTGACAGAAAAGCTTCTCATTACAGCAATAGGGGCTGTAAAAGCCCTGTAGATGACACACTCAATCATAATGCATGATGTCACTATATTAATGTGATACTTACAGGCATATTTGCATAACTGATGACTGACGTCACAGGAATTTCATTCATTCATCATTCATTATAACTCACTATTTTTCAGCTTTTGTAATCTTGACTAACATTCCAATAAATTACATTTCAACGCAAAATCAAATTAAAGAAATTATATTCTGAAAACAAATAAATTATTTTTAATGACATTATTTTTGTGATGATTAAGTACATTTTGTTCTCAAATTTTCATTTTTATAATGCATCTAGATGTTTTTTGTAAATAATATTATTATCAATATTGATTCTCAGTAGATTCTATTCTATTAATTAAGTTGCTCTATTACATAAAAAATGATTGGAATGCAATTTTTTATTATTAAAATGTAGCAAAAATCAAAGCCAATACAACAAATATCATGATAAATAAATGATTAAAACAAATAATTAAATAAATGATTATGTCAACAAATAAATTACAATATATCCTCATTTTTCACATATTGATAATCACATAAAAATTATATACACTGAAAAAAGTGTTGAATTTACTTTGAAACCATTACTAGTAAATGTAATAAATAATTACAAATAAATAGCAAGTAACACATTGAATTAAACATGAAATTTTGAAATCGAAAAAAATTAAATTTCTTATTTCTAATTTCTTATGTACTCCAATAATCTTTGTTTTATTTACAACCTTGAAAAATACTTTTTACCGTGTACAAGCATAATATAATATAATATAATATTTCTTTTGATTTTGGTGTGAAATCTAACCTGGACATATTCTTGACATTCACCCTTACACATGCTATAATTTACTCAAGACAGACGTTCAGTATTTGATTTAGACTTAAAATATTTGTTCAGTATAAGACAATGCCTCACCTGGTAAATCCAGCCTAAAAGAGAAAGATGTCCCAGGACCTGCGAGTGACACTGGATACTCCTGACATCAGACCAGTGTTGGACTAATGGGTGTGTCTAAAGCTGCCAAACGTAACTTTACCCACTCTCTATTACAGATACACACACAGTATATATTCATTTACAAACATTTGCTCTGACACACACTCATGCATTAAAGTGAACTTTGACAACCCCACCCAGCAAGATGGCAGACGATCAATGATTAGCCAGAGGTCAACATTACCACACACTGACTCTTAAAAAGACAGACACAATCTAAAATAAAACAGCAAAAATAATGTTTTTTTTTTTTTTTATTAAACTCATATTTCAGGTCAAGTGTTCATTGAAGGGATGCTATTTGTTACATGATACACACCACTTTTTAGTGCATACAGTTTAGTGCATACTAGTAAGTAAATTGGGAAGCAGGGTATTAATGCCCCAAAAAGTAGATGAGAGAAACTTTTCTAAATGAGAGAATAAATATTTTTTAAAAGTATCGGGACTAATACTGATGGATACGCTGTTATTCAATACTGTGGTCAAAAAAAAGGAAGCAAAATGGTGCTAATTGGCAACTAAAAGCTGTTCAGCACACAGTGGACTGGATCTCACCCACCACAGGAACCAGTCAATAGCATTGATCAGGCCAGACTGAAGCCAGCAGATATCAATGGCTGAGATGCTCAGTGCTGAGACTATAACTAAAGGCCCATGTTAGTAGAGTTTGCTATAAGCTAGGCTATTGCTCATACTGAGGGTTAATGATTCAATCAAACCAATAACTTTAAGTACTTTTGTCTTGTGCAGTTTGTGCTGCAGACATAAATGATGCTTCTAACTCTGTGGCTCATGTGGCACAAGCACAAAAAATGTTTTTGTTTTTTTAAATCAGACATTCGGTTTTTGCAAAGGGGGAAAACTTTAAAGGGATAGTTCACCCAAAAAATGCAACCCTCTACATTGTGAGTAAATCACTCGCAAATGCGACTAAATCTTACTCTGGGCGACTAAATAATGTCTAACATTAGCCATTGGCTAATAAATTCTTAGATTTTACACGCCAGTATGTGTGTGAGAGGCGTTCAACACAGATTTTCACTCGATAAACATGCTGACTGAGCGCTTGAGAGTTTCGCTCTCCGTCAAGCGATCTGTACTATTTGAATGCGCTCAATGGATCATGTCATGCGCAGTATGTAGCACACAGCGCACCTGTATTTGACGCACCGTAAACTAGTGTGAAGGCGCACTACTCGCCATCACTTTACTGATAGCACTGTGTTTCTCACACATGCAAAGAGAGAGAGCGAGAGTCTTGCATACCACGCTGAATCGACGCGCTACATGTAAACCATATTCTTTGTTGTATTTTCCTGTCAAAATAACAGTTCATTTAGAATTATTCAGCTTTTAAGAACAAGCAGAATATATGCCGGTTTCTTGGCAGTGGGTGGAGCTAATGCGCGAACAGTTCTTGTTGGTTGGCGCTCATCTATTATCATCCCTGTTTTGATTTCAGCAAATCAGTTCGAGCGAACGCTGACAACGTGATTAATATTCATGAACCCAGCAGATAATA